GTGGAAGGGGAGGGGGGGTGTCGAAAGTTTCTCCCTGTCGTTCACTTCTCGTCTTTCCCTTTTACCCTTTATTTTTTTTTCCTCTCTCTCCTCTCTCTCTCTCTCTCTCTCTCTCTCTCTCTCTCTCTCTCTCTCTCTCTCTCTCTCTCTCGGCGTCCTTTTTTATCGCGTCTCCTCCTTCTATCCCTCTTCCTTCTATCCCCCTCTCCCCTCTTCCATCTTCTGATCCTCATCCCTTTTCTTTTATTCTTCCTTTCCACTTATTTTTAGTTTGTCCCTCTTCTCTTCCTTCATTTCCCTTCTCCTTTCCCTCTTTTCTAATCCCTATTCTCTCCTCCTCTCCCCTTTTATCTTCTCCCCTCCATTCCTTCTCTACATCCCCCTTTCCCTTCCTCTTCTCCCCTCTCCCCTCTTCCCCTTTCTCCTCCTCCCCTCCTTCCTCCCTCTTCCCCTCCCTCCTCCCTCCCTCCTCCTCTCCTTCTTCCTCCTCCTCCTCCCTCCTCCTCTCCTTCTTCTTCCCTCCTCCTCTCCTTCTTCCTCCCCTCCTCCCCTCCTTCCCCCCTCCCCCCTCCTTCCTCCCTCCTCCCCTACCAACCCTATCTCCCGAGGGGACATAAGGTCGGGGATTTGCAATCTACTTGGTCAGCAGGAGGAAGAAGAGGAGGAGAAGAAATGATGAGGAGAAGTGAGAAAGAATAAAAGAGTAAAAAGGGAAGAGAGGAGCGGAAAAAAACAGATATAAGGAAAATAAAACAGACAAAACAGAAATTGACAAAACATCAAGATAGCAGATGACATAAAACAACTCCGTAATATGACACAAAATAACCCAACCAGCTCATGACACAAAACAACCCAAACCAGCACATGACACAGAACAAAACAAACAACCCAGCACATGACACTGAGCAAGACGAAACAAAAACAAGACAAGACAACCCAGCACATGACACTGAGCAAGACGAAACAAAAACAAGACAAGACAACCCAGCACATGACACTGAGCAAGACGAAACAAAAACAAGACAAGACAACCCAGCATATGACACAACCCAATCCAGCACATAACACAAAACAAAACAAGACATAACAAAACAAAAAACAAAACAAAACAAGACATAACAAAACAAAAAACAAAACAAAAGACAACGCCACGCCGCCCCGGTCCCAGTCGGCGCCGGGCACTAGCATCATCAGCACACGCAGCATCCAGCGACGGTACGTAACGCCCTCCGAGATAAGATAAACAAGGACCACCTCCGGACAATAAGGGCCTGGAGGAACACCTTTATCGTGGGGGGGGGGGGCTATTACAACTGGGTCTTTTTCTTACTTGTTAATTGCTGTGGTGCTGGGTTTTTTCGTCTGTTTGTTTGTTTTATCTAGTTTTATGCCTGGTTGTTGTTGTTTTTGTTTTTGTTTTTTGCCTGGTTGTTGTTTGTTTTCGTTTTTCTGTTTTGTTTTGTTTTGTGTGGTTATTTATCTGTGTCTGTGTTTTATTTGTTTTTACTTGTCGCTTACTATGATTATGTGTTTCCGGTAATTAGTTTTCCCATTCTCTCTCTTTCTCTCTCACTCTCGCTCTCTCTCTAGCTCTCGCTCTCGCTCTCTCTCTCTCTCTCTCTCTCTCTCTCTCTCTCTCTCCCTCGCTCTCTCTCCCTCTCTCTCTCTCCTTCTCTCTCTCTCTCCTTCTTTCTCTCTCTCCCTCTCTCTCTCTCCCTCTCTCTCTCTCCCTCTCTCTCTCTCCCTCCCTTTCTCTCTCTCCTTCTCTCCCTCTCTATCACCCGCCACTATCTTTCACCAGCTACGATTCGCCATAATGGTCACCATTTGCACGTTCATAAAAGGACGATAAAACGCACTTCCTCGGTACAATTAAACGGTCAATCCAGGGGCGTTCTTCCTCCCTTTCACCTTGACCGAAGACATGCGGGTAATAAAGAAACATGATTGACAAAAAACAAAAAAAGGAAGGAAATGAATAAAAGAGAAACGGATGGAAAGTGATAATTCCCGTAAGGAGGGAGGGGGAAAGGGAGGGAGGGAGGGGAGGAGGGGAGGATTGAAGTCTCTATCTCTACTCTATCTCTCTTTTCGCAGTCAAATCCTCCCCGAACATATCTCTGTCTTTTGGGTCTTCGTGGGAGGAAAAAAAAATAGAAAGAGAGAAAAAGAAGAAAAGGGGAAGATCCTCAGACGGAGATAACGACACAAAAGAAAGAGGGAGAGAGAGAGAGAGAGAAGAAAAAGAAGACGTTGATCCGGAAAGAGGTAAAAGACACGGAGAAGAAATCGCTGCCACATCATCAAATCCCTCCGAATCTCATTAACAGCTAAGTCCCCCCTCTCAATTCCCAGGTCCACGCCCCGTTTTCGCTAACGGACGAGCGGCCCACTTACATAAGCGTTCCCTGGTGGCTAATACGCGCGCCACCTCGGGGACAATAAAACTTTCGGATACCTGACATTTTCTGCTGGATTCGCCTTTTATCTGGGGTTACTGAGGCGTTTAGGGTTTAATATCATTCGACGCAGACATTAGTAAATGACCGACAGAGGTGTTTTAGCGGGTGCAATGAGGGAGGAAGGAGAGGGAGAGGGAGGAGGGAGAGGGAGAGGGAGAGAGAGAGAGGAGAGGGAAGAGGGAGAGGGAAGAGGAAGAGAGAGGAGGAGGGAGGAGGGAGGAGGGAGGAGAGAGAGAGAGAGAGAGAGAGAGAGAGAGAGAGAGAGAGAGAGAGAGAGAGAGAGAGAGAGAGAGAGAGAGAGAGAGAGAGAGAGAGAGAGAGAGAGCGAAAGCGAAAGCGAAGCGAAAGCGAGAGAGAGAGAGAGAGAGAGAGAGCGAAAGCGAGAACGAGAGACAGAGAGAGCGAGAGCGAAAGCGAGAGAGAGAGACAGACAGACAGAACGAGAGCACGGGCCATCACACTTATTGGAATTCGGAGTGTTAAAATGTTTGGCATTATCCTTAAATGACCGGCACTGAGTGAGTAGCCGATACTGGTGTATATCTATGTTAACCCCACGATTGCCCCCACGGAGTCTAAAATACCCCCGCCATTATTTCCCGCGTCAGACACAAAATGTCCGAATAAATAAGACCCATTGGCCGCGTCAGGGAGGGACTGGCAAGGCGGAGGTATAAAATATTCGGACATCGGTTGCCTGGGTCTCCTCCTCCTCCTCCTCCTCCTTCTCCTCCCCCTCCTCCTCCTCTTCTTCTTCTTCTTCTTCTTCTTCTTCTTCTTCTTCTTCTTCTTCTTCTTCTTCTTCTTCTTCTTCTTCTTCTTCTTCTTCTCCTCCTCCCCCTCCCTCTCTCCCTCTCCTTCCATCTCATCCTCTTCTTCTTTCCCCTTTTTCTTTCCTTCTTCCTCTCCTTCTTGCCTTCTTCCTTCCCTCCCTTCCTATTCCCCCCCCCCAACCTAGCCTCCCTTACCGCCTCCATTACCCCCCCCCACCTACCCCCACCCCACCGGTCTCTTCTTACAGCCTCTTTCTTTTCCCCTAATTTCTTCCACTCCTTCTTCTTCTTCTCTCTCTCTATCTTCCTCCCTTCTCCCCTCTCTCCCTCTCCTTCTTCCCTCCTCCTTCTCCTGGGCCGAGAGGACGAGGAGAGGGAGCGGAGAGAGAGAGAGAGAGAGAGAGAGAGAGAGAGAGAGGAGAGAGGAGAGAGAGAGAGAGAAGAGAGAGAGAGAGAGAGAGAAGGAGAGAGAGAGAAGGAGAAAGAGAGAAGGGAGGGAGAGAGAAGGGAGACCGACAGAGAGAGAGAGAGAGAGAGAGAGAGAGAGAGAGAGAGAGAGAGAGAGAGAAGAGAGAGAGAGAGAGAGAGAGAGAGAGAGAGAGAGAGAGAGAGAGAGAGAGAGAGAGAGAGAGAGAAGGAGAGAGAGAGAGAGAGAGAGAGGAGAGAGAGAGAGAGAGAGAGAGAAGAGAGAAGATGAGAGAGAGAAGAGAGGAGAGACAGAGAGAGAGATAGAAAGCGAGAGAGAGAGAATGAGAGAGAGAGACTGTAGATGGCAGCACTGATACTCGATCTGTCACTCTCTTTCCTTAATACCGCCAGGGGGCTCCCTCGCCCCCCTCCCCCCAGCACATTCCCGCCAAAATCTTTTGTTCTCGCGTTGCCATCTCATTCCGTTTATGGCTTCAGCGCTCGGGGGAAATTGATAATCTTTATGCGATGTCTTGTAAGAATATTAAGGCATATTTTTTTGTAAAATTAAAAAAAAAGAGATGAGGAGCGAGGGGGAAAAATGGGGGGAAATAATGGGCTTCAACTGCCGTTCATTCCCCCCCCTTCAAAAATAAGGAAAAAAATAGGCCTTTTTTTATATTACGTAAATGATTAAGCGGATTCTCGGTCAAACTAACCGAGAGATTCAGACTGTTTATAACAATAATGGATTAAGCCATCCTGTATATCATTTAGGCTCGTTATGCAGATATATATTGTCTCACAACATTATTGTGGCTAAATTAATGCAAGGCACTGACTGCAACTAACTGAAAATTAATTGTTTGAGTTACAGTTTACATTCACAGTCACTCTGCGTGTAATTATTTTAACCGTTGTTTTGTGCATGAGCTTAAATGTTTTTTTTATTGTTTTTTTTTTTGTTTTGTTTTTTGTTTTTATTGAAAACAGGCCAAAAGTTAGTCCCGATCATTTCAATATTTAAAATCAAATGAATAATTATGACGATGTCGATGACGTTGACGATGACGATAACGATGACGATGAAGATGACGATGATGATGACGTTTTCGATGACGATGACGATGACGATGAAGATGATGATGACGATGAAGATGACGATGGCGATGAAGATGAAGATAATGGTTGGTGATATACATGTTGGTCTAAACAATATTGAGAATGAGAAAGAAACAGACACACTCACAAATCAAAAACATTAATGGTAAAATGGACCACGAAACCAATAACAAACAAACCCAGAGATCTTAAAAACC